GTTCGCTAAAAATGTGATGATAACCAACAGTAATATCTAAGAAGATATAGCCATGAGAAAATGTGATGATATGCAGCTGCAGTAACGTCGAAAGAGAAATATAAGGCGTTTGATCGCATATGTCTCTCATAGACTATTAGACATGCCCTCTGAATATATAAACATTCCAAAACCTCTCTATTCAAACAGATATATATTTTACATATTTGTCATTGTTTTATGTTTTATAAAACATAGGCAATCATTTTTTGTTTGTCATATCGACCCAAAAGCCCGAAGTGTCCTCAGCAAATGTTATTTTAAAAAATCAAGACATATGGACCTCCCTTAAATATTGGTTCAAATGTTGCTGCACTATATTGTGCTACGGACTCTTCATATTCTGGAGTCATACCATGGACTAAGAAGACGGGGTGAGGCGATGAAAATTGGAAATGTTCACTATACTAAAAGTCGTGCACAAAGTTTCTGAGAGGTTCTGGGAAGGATTCCTATCAGACATATGAAATGCATTGATTGATTCGAGATGAAGCCAAGAACACAAGACGTGTCAAGAAATCATGCAGTTAAAATATGATAACTACATACCTCGGAAATCCAAGATGTTCAAACTGACAAGAATCAAACCTTTACTAATATACGTTTCGAATTGATTTTAAGTAAAGCAGCATGGGGATTCAACATGAGGTGATCTGTGTGCAACATTGGAGTCTAGTATCTATTTTACACACGGTTGGTTATTTCTACTTCATTGTACTTATGTAATAATCCAAATTCCAGTTAAATCGATGGTTGAGGTCCGGGGTTGAGGCAACCTCAATACGAACGTGATTCTTTGAACATAATATCGTCAACACACACATATATTCATTATTCATAACCCTATTGCATACCATGAACGTACCACGTTATACAAGCCCCGATCAATCCTAAATCAGCGACGATTGTTGAACAGTTGAGAAAAACAGATTCTAAACACGACCAAGTCCTCCTGCTAATTAGAAAAATACAAAGATGATCTTTTTTCAATATCAAAGTTGTGTAAATACAACAAAGCCAGATGGTCAAACTGGAAATCGCTTAATTTCGTGATGTTTAAGGTCTCATGGAAGTTAACAGGAAATGACAAAACAAAAAATGACAAAGCCATGCTGGATTTTGAAAATTTTTTGAACCAAGATAACAGAGTTCTGTTTGGACCTCCAGTCAGTTTAACTAGTTCCAAATATCATTTACATGACCAGGAACACAATTGAAATGGTCAGAATGACCATAAACATGATAAAATAACCTTTTTAGCCCTCTGAAAATGTGACTGAAAAATAGCTAAAAGTAGGTGCTCAGGAAAGGTCAATGAACAGAATATTTTGATTTTTTCAGAAAATGTGTCCAATATATTGCTCTAAATGACACAATCTTTGAAATTTTAAAAAATCGTCTGAAACAATAATGGCTGTAGTAAAAAGGAAAATAGATCGATTTTCAATTCAGTTTTTTTCAATTTTTTCTTTTTCTAAGAATGATATCAAATTTTTTTGAATTGTATCATTTAGAGCAATATATTGGGCACATTTTCTGAAAAAGTCAAAATATTCTGTTCAGTGACCTTTCCTGAGCACATACTCTTAGCTTTTTTTTAGTCACATTTTCAGAGGGCTGAAAAGGTTATTCTATCATGTTTATGGTCATTCTGATCATTTCAACTGTGTTCCCTGTCATGTAAATGATATGTGGAACTAGTTAAACTGACTGGAGGTCCAAACAGAACTCTGTTATCTTGGTTCAAAAAATTTTCAAAATCCAGCATGGCTTTGTCATTTTTTGTTTTGTCATTTCCTGTTAACTTCCATGAGACCTTAAGGTTGAGTTTCATTGTAGATGTTATTTTTCTGTTTTATGAATCAGTTATATTGATTGTGTGTGAATATCAATAGAGTTGTGTATGGCCGTGAATTATTTCACATTCTTCACATAGATGAAGATAAATATTTGATTGGTAATGTGGGGGAGTTTAATGGATAGCACTCTCTTTATCATCTGTAGTCCAAGTTGTCATTACCACTTTGGATCGATTTAGATTGACTGTTGACATGGTACAGTTTTAAATTATCATATAAAGTCATCTGAACATTGCATTGTCTTTCCGTAAATCAACTCTGTTCTGGTGTCGAACATATACATCTGGTTATCAGCGACGTCTTTCTCATTTTCTTCGGCGTTCGGAATGACCAAAAGCGAAAACTTCTTATCGCCGTTGTCAGTTTGTTTGTAATAACTGAATGTTTCAAATAAAGTCTATGCAATGGAACACTCTCTGCAGGCAATGTTACATACTTGAAGAGGTTCTTCAGGCTAGTCTATCAAAATGAAATCAGAGATGTCGTAGCTAAATCGTGGTTCCTGAAGCATAGCAACTTATTCTTAGCATACCTTCTTTTGTTCATTACTTCATATCAGTTACATTCTGGCGGCGAACCTAGCTGTTCAAGTATAGTCATGAGATAGATCGCACTACGGGTGGTATTGTTTAACTTTCGATACATTCTTGCGCTCATATTTCTTTTGTATTTTAATCTCATTATTTCACCGTGAGTCGTAGGTATTTATCGATGAGACGTACGGAACTCAACTCTTTAGAATTCAGTCCTTGGATGTATCACGTACACTTGACCCTATACAACATTAAATGTATACCCCCCAGGGATAGCATTTTATCAAACGTCATATTCCCCTTTCAACAACTATTACCTTGTTCGTCTAGAAGTGATATTTTTTCAACATCCGATTTGATTGAAATAGAAAACGATGATCATGAGCCATGCGGACTTTAAGGGGATATTAATGTTATTAAGTGTTTTGGAGCTGCTATTATCATTAGCCTCATTCATTATATGATTCCAAACCTTCCTTTTAGTTCATTAACCCTCATTTGATGCCAAATGGCCACACAAGCTAGCGGAAGATTAACCGTGAATACTTGCCGTCCAATCCCAGCATGATTGATTTACCAGTTTCCTCATTGCTGAGTTGGTTTACACTGGGAAGAAGGTTTACTAAAAAATGAGCCGATATTGATGTAATCGCGCACTAATGCCCACAAATACGATTCCTCATTTTACCTATCTTTTTGTAAAAAGTCTCTGATCTTTTTACACCCCAGGGTCAATGGTGAAGAAATCAACAAATAGACTGTTTCTTCAACTGATAACGACCCCAGATCATTCTCATTTGAACATGATTTGTTTAGACTTTGAACAAATAAGCGTGGATATGAAGTTAATTTTTTGATTTCCAATGCTGCTATATTGATAAATAACTCCTCAAAATTAAGTTTGATATTGGTCAAGATGATTAATCTAGCGTCTATTTTTTAAATCTAAAAGCTCATTTGATATTTAACCAGGATATCTTTACCCCAAAAAGTACGGTTGATATTCACCAGGATAACTTATCAACGATTACAACGTCTATCTTTACCCCCAAAAGTACGTTTCACATTAACTAGGATAATTTATCAACGATGACAGCGTTTACCTTTACCCCCAAAAGTACGTTCCACATTAACTAGGATAATTTATCAACAATGACAGCGTCTATCTTTGCCACCAAAAGTACGTTTCACATCAACTAGGATGATTTATCAACAATGATAACGTGTATCTTCACCCCCAAAAGTACGTCTGATATTAACCAGGATAGTTTATCAACAATGACAGCGTCCATCTTTACCCCCAAGAGTACGTTTGATATTAACTAGGATAATTTATCAACATTGACAGCGTCTATCTTTACCCCCAAAAGTACGTTTGATATTGATCAGGATAATTTAATTGACAGCGTTCCTATCATTACACCCAGAAAGTACGTTTCACATTAACCAGTATAGTTTATCAACATTGACAGCGTCTATCTTTACCCCCAAAAGTACGTCTGATATTAACCAAGATAATTTATCAACATTGACAGTGTCTATTCTTACACCAAAATGTGCACTTGATGTTAATCAAGATCATTACTGATTCATGTTTAGTGAATATTTAATTCATATGGACGAAGTCCAACGCCGTTCCTGTCGGAGAAAGACAAGAACAAATTGAATTTGTGGTTGGAGCAAATCGAAACCAGAAGACAACTACTCGAGAGAAGGTGCTTCCAGGCACTGCCATTAGTCTGAAATTATGAAGCATCGATTCTGTAATTACTTTCCAAATCCACTAATATTCTGTTAAAGTGATAATTCTGAAGTAGCAAGTGTAATGAAGACACCAGATCGTTACAGAATGGAGTTGCATTTGAGTTCAAGTATAAGTCAATGGGCATTGGTAATGAGTGAAGTGAATCAGAGACAAGGTTTTAAAGATTTTCTTGATCTCATGAGACCAACGTTTTACAATGAGAGGAAAAAGTGAGTTCGATAGATAAACGTTCACCACATCTTTCTGTTTTTCAACGACCAACGTGTCAAGAGGCTCAAGGCTAGCGAGAATTGAGATGACATAGTGTGCTATAAAGTCTGTTTAGTGTTTATTCAGCCAGTATTTCAAAATGCCCGGTACAGCTCTCCATCCAATTGGGAAAGGAGAATGTGTTTCCTAAAAAGGGATTACAGGCAATCTGCGCTATGTTAGAAAAGAAAGATACGACTATGGAATGTTCCGCTTGAACACACATAAAAGTGGTTACGGAATTTTATAAACTAGCAAGAAGTCCTCAGTCACCTATACCTTGGACGTAATCTTAATTAGCTAGTTGTCTTTCAACCAAATAATAAATGAAATGCGGGCACACTACGCTAGCTACTGGTCAAGGACTAATGATTGTTTCACTTGACCACACATAAAAAGTGATCAAGGAATTTGATAAACTTGCAAGTAGTCAGTCAGCTAAATCATAATCTTAACAGCAAATAATAAATGAAATGGGGACACATTACACTAGCTTGTGATCACTCACCCATATCACCTATAAAATTTGACGTTACCATACCAGTAGTCACTCACCCATATCATCAATGTGGTCAGACATCGCCAGTGTCACTCCAACGAGTATCATACTCATGGCAATCATTAGAAATGCAATCACTCCAACTATCCGCGCCACCTTTTTCTGTTTGGCAGTGGGTGGCTCGTCTTTATCAAGAACTTGTGCATTTCGTTGTTGTTTGAGAATGTCTGTGAAAAACGGACTCTCGGAGACATCACGAGATATTGAATTGTCCAATTGGACCGAGAGGATCTCTATAGCATCGTCATGGTCCAGTGAAGACATATCTTTGGGGCGAGCGCCCCCACATAGCACCCTCCCGTCCACACATTGGACTGGTTCCTTGTATGGTACTGACGTATACATCTAACCAGGTTCTCCCTTTATTGTGGCATTTCGTACACAACCTAACCTTTTTGAATTCTACCTCCTATAAATGTAATTGATTCCAGATTGTATGGCACGAGACCTCCAGGTTTATTGATTTGTAATTTTAGATTACACATCACCCTTGTTCTCCAAACGATCCCCCGCCCCTGGCACGACTCGTTGTTAAGTTCCCAAGATGCCAGAGTAATGATTCATTCTCATCATGTTATACTCGATTGCCCTTGTGTGCGCATCAATGTCTTTTAAGCGATCAATGTAGCGAGTGAAGTGCTGTCTGGCGGGCGAAACAACACCAACTATTGACAAATCCAAGTACCTAATGCTAGAATTCCTTTATAACGTACTTTATAAATAATGCATAGTCTTAGCGAATAAGAATGAAGATAATATCAAAGTCAAGTCACAACCAAAGGCTTCGCCAGTCTCTGGTGTTTTGTTCTTTATTTTGATTTTGTGGCCCACGGGTATCATCAAAATGTCTGCGAATCGTTGCCCTAATGGGAAACGACTTTACGTCTACACAACTTCAAACCTGTAGCTCAATTAATAATGTTTACAACATGATTTGTTGTCAGAACTTGATAAAGCCTCCATCGTGTACTCTTTTTTAATTAGCAATAATATGCCTGATGGGTTGCATCTTGGCTCGATTATCTCCAAACTCCCAGCGATGCATAAATGCCTCGCGCCAGTGCCCGATCAGCAGTCCAAATGGTTAGCTACCCGCAACTAATTTGCGGCAAATGTGTATTTTGATAATAAGCTAACTCTGAGAGATGTTGTGAGTTATGCTTTGGACTAATACTAATTAGTAGTTAAACTACATAACACATCAATCTGCAACGGCCAAGTTCTGACATCCAGGAGAGAACTACTAGATTACGATTAGGAATGACTAGATATCTCTGATTCTGCGTATTCATCTTCACAGGGTTGATATATTAACATATGATCTGAAATGTTCCCAGATGCTATCTTCTGCCAAACCATGCGGTTAACTATGTGAATCTAGTTTTTTAAGTTGAGTACGAATCCGATATGATCTTACTATAAACTGATAAATCCAACCTCTGTTGTGCCAGGAGTTATATAGAGTAGAGACGTCTAACAGCCATATACCAACAATGCCCTTGTGTTCAATTTTACTACTAATCTGCCTTTATCAACGTTTTTTTACAGAGAAGCGTCCCGGGAGGAGAAAGGGAGAATTATCGTTCCATCATCCATGACCACGCTTCGTAAATCAATCCACAACGTTCCTCTTAGCGTGTCTTTCGGGAACCTGGCCTGAGTTTCACGCAAATATCGAATATGTGCTGAATATTATATCAAGAATAACAATGGTAAACAAACTAACAATCGAAATGGAACTTCCTCTGTATCATCGATTGGCTGAGGCATTTTTCCATTAGAGTTGGTACAGGCATAATTGACACAAGAGAGGTTAAGGTACGCGTAAGAGAGAACGTAATGAACGTGTATTATGACCCCCGGGGATTACTGCCCACCTCCCTATTGGTCTTTCTAGGGACCTACTTACAACTATTTCCCTTACTGTTTAGTCTGACTTCACTTCTTTTCAAAATCATCTACAACTTCTCAGAAGTTCAAATCTTACTTTGGATTAAGACTTGACCTTCAATGACCTTCTCAAGGTCAGAAAAGGTCAAACAAGTCTTTTAAACTTCAAAGTCTAAATCAACTACAAGTTCTGAGAAGTTCAAATCTGACTTTAGATTTGAGACTTGATCTTCTCAAGGTCAAAATGGTCAAAAATGTATTTTTCAACGTGCTTCAAATTGACCAATTTTATTTAAAATCATCTACAGGTTCTCAGAAGTTCAAATCTGACTTACGATTGAATTCGTAATATTGTGAGCCAGCTACTATAGGTGGTGACATTTTTTCATGCCGATGCCTTGTCTTAAAACGTGTAGCTTCGCCTCCATATAAAACTGGTATCATCGTGATATGGAATCGATCAAACTGTAAATAATGGGCACCATGAATGGATCTGATACTAATATCATTGAAACTCATATCGGAACTAACAACCGTAGACAATCGCTGTGTAACAATTGGGTCTGAGGAAATACTAAGATGAAATTGTCAAAGAATTTGGATTCGGTTACTGTCAAATTTGCGGGAATCGGGGATCAATATCATAGTCTCCATTTCTTGTTTGAGATTATGATACATTTGTTGAAATACTTCAAAGTAGAACTCGAAATGGCCGAGCAGAACAATATAAGATTTGTTTTTATTTGTTTGGTGATCGCCACGCAATGCAATGTACTTGCAACCATATAGAAACTCCAAATACATTTCCTGAATGAAAACCACCATGAGAATCGGCAACTGATTGATTCCACTATTGTGATCCTCTGTCTCATTGGCTCTCAGTTTAAATCGATAACCCAATAGGACTAAATTGTAATTCAACTTGTGTATGAGCCATGGTACGTGGCGTCGTTGGTCCAGAAATCGGTAAATACATTACGCGATAAAAACATGCCAATGGACATTTGATCGAATTGCGCCAAATGAATCCATAAAAATATGCAATTTAGGCATGAAATAGCACATGATGTGGAAGGTAAAGAAAACAGTCAATACATTGATTACAATATACAGTGCAAGTAACAACAACAAGGTATCAATGGACATTTAAATTACGTCAACTGAATCCATAATGCATAAAGGCATGCAATCATTGCCAGAGTTCATGTTTGCCGCTTTCGGAAATCACTGCCAAGAATAAATAAGCAGGCAATGCGCATAAATTATAAATGAAATATGCAGGCTAATGCAAGGTTAAACAAGGAGTCTAATGAATTGAGTAGATTATCATCGTGAAAACATGATTTCCCTCAGGGCCAACGTACGAAAGAAAGTAAACACTTACGACTGATGCCTCATGATCAGTTAACACGTTTTTGAGATACAAAATTCTAACCTGGTCCGTATAAAAAACTTCTAGATTATCGCAATGCTATGCTTATAAGGTAGACAATGACAGTATAAAATATATAACCATAGAATGCAATAATGACGCTATACCGCCATCTTGAACTGAGTCATTCAACGTTGGTGTATCGCAAATAACCATCACGCTCTGCCACGAGGTACGCTATATAGCTAGGTACATGTTCGTCTGTTTGCCCGGTAAAAATCGCAAAGAAGTGTCCTCATTCTAATCTAAGCTACACACCCCTCCGTACGTTTGGCAACCTTAGCTCCCCCCGATCTACGTGTTAAATCCTCTTTATGTTTGAATTTTCATTTACTTAACCTGCGATGAAATAACTTATAACATTGATGGAAACGTAATTTGAGTTTATTTCCAATACCTCCAAATTTTTTCAAATTTTTTCCCTCAATTACAATAGGTCGTAAATTGATGATGAATTTGATGAACTTTTGAAAATCGTCATTCCCATGTAATCCAACGGGAAATGGGAAAAACGCCACTTTTTTCAAAACAATGTAACTTTTTTATTTTCCAACCTACATACACCAAATTTTGCAGTTATATAGTGCCAGGGGTTGTAAGTTATAATATAATATAATGTAATAAATCCTTCAGCTTGGATTATATTTGTTATAAAAGATGAGTTCAATAGACCATTCCAGTAAATCATGCCATCTTATGGTTATGATGTCATTCTTACAATTTCAGTGCAGAAATAGGATTAAAATTTCTTTCAATTTTGTTTACGAACATTACTGCCTGTAAAGTATGACATCATAAATCTAGCCAATATACCCTAGTTTCCTTGGTTCACAAATAGGGGTCAGGATTTATTGGAAAGGTCTATTTGTCCGCCATTCTCTTTGATGATAGATTTTAGTCGTCTTGGTCGCATTGCTGATGTAGCAGTAACAATGAAATGTTGGCTAAGTTTCTGTGTTAATTGCCAGCTTTAGTTGAGCAATTTTTGAGATTGGGTACCTTTATACCATCTCCTGGAGACCTCCCCATACCCTATACTCACTGGCGTTTGCATCGGGACTCTTGGCCTGGTGGTCATCAGGCCGTATCAGTTCAGGAACATTTTGCAAATTATGATTATTTCTTATGGCACATCACCACATGTTGAAGCGATCGCTGGTGACATATTTTATTCAAGTAAAAGTGTACAATTCATAATCCATGGCTAGATAGCAATCTCCAGTTTCATTTGGTATGCACAAATTATGATTTAGTATCAAAAATTAAAAAGTTCTAGCATTTTGAAGAAAAGTTGCGGATTTTTTGGCCCACTCTGTAGTTAAGCATTGTATAGCGGCAGGTGTTAATTGCTGTTTCGACATGTTTTTGCCCAGAATCTCATACTTGAAGTTTACCATTTTAAACTTTTTGTCATACACAGATACCAATAGAAACTGGGGCAAAATTTTCGGGGGAACAATACTTTATAGTACACCAAAACCCCAAAACCTGCCATCTATTTTCAAAGGGGAGAGAAAGAAGTTTACTTGATGAATATGCCTGCCATCTATATTGAATTGAAGGAACAGCATACGTACTCGTACATTGAGCATACGACAATGCCCCCTTTTTATGTGTAGAAAATTACTAATGTTTAATCAACTTATGACGCCAGCCCAATACATAGTAGACAATCAATGGGTTATAAGTAGGCTTGGCTATGACGAGCTGACTAGTATGTTAATGTTGTTTTTACTATAGACTCTTCGCACATTGGTAAATGTGATGGATCTCGTCGAATTTCAGTTATGTCATGTAGTACATCAGGAATCAAATTATGCATTGTTATTCATCGTTTACTAAAAATAATATCGGCTCTGTTTCACCTTTGTTGATCTGGAAAGGATCGCTCACAACTCAGGTTTTCATTTAAGATTTTCATATTAATTAGGCTTACCGATCGCACTGGATGGACTGGATTTTTTTCAGTATTCATTCATATATCCTCATCGGAGAATATCAGAGATCGAAAAGGCGTGGATTACCACATTTGAGTAAGTTATGGGCCCTAAAAGTGGTAATATCACTAAATGAGAACTTACAAAGCACTAGGTTCGCCGTTGGTACGGCATACAAAAAACAACTTAACTAGAAAACAACAACTCCACGGAGTAGCATATCTCACCGGACAAAAAAATATTTTAACATTGTCATTTTGAATTACATGATAGAAATAACCAGGAAATAGTCATACTCGGGGTGGAAGGTGTGAGAATTGTGCAAAAAATGACTTTGTGAGCTGGATGGAGTTTCTCTGTATTTTTCATTCTATTAGGGTTTCCTGCATAAGGGATTTCGCCTGCGAAGCATAGAACTCTTGCGAACATATCTAAATATTGGTCCGAAGAAGACATACCTTGAATTTTTTAGAAAAAATAGGCTAAAAATGGAAACTACAAAAAGTCAAAATGTTCAACTCAAACAAAACTCTAGCTATTTAATATTAACACTATGTATTATTTAATGTTTTTCAGATGTTTAAGGACCTCCATTAGTGTACTAGTGTCTAGAAATAAGATAATTAAGGACAAAATATGGCATTTTTGATCATTTTCGCTTTCAGCAGTAACATATAGTTCCTTATATCTTGAGTTTAATGTTCACTGGTTGTTGCAATTTTGATCAAATCTGTTCTTGTACATGTCTTCTTCCATTTCAGATAAAAAATGTA